TTATCCAAAGGTCCGGCAATCAAGCAAAACGCGGGGGAATGGGATAAATGATGTCTCGGCGACTAACACGAGGCTTCAAGCCACCAAGCCCAGTAGCCAACTCGACCGGCTATTATGGAAACATTTAGCCTACACATGCACACAGCCAAGAGGCCAAGACATCTGATCAAGTGTACAAGAATTGCATTTCTCATATATAACAAGACATGTGCCAACGGGCATGAATGCATGCCACCAGGGTATTTATATTATAAGTGAAGCAACGCCGTCCGAACAAAGCCGCCTAAACGCTCAGAGAATAATGCAACCCACCAGACTAAACTACCAGTCCTGCCCGCGATCCCGCATCAGGATCTCAATGGCTTCATCCTCGGGGACGGGATTGTCATTCAGTTCCTTGACGCATTGCGTGAGCCCCTCTGCGGCTTCATCTACTTGCTCCGCCGACCAGCCCGTGCATGCCATCACCATGCGACGGTAGTTCTGGCCAAGAACTGCGTTCTTTGCTTTCAGGCCATCGACTTCAGCTAGTATCCCTCCGTTGAATTCCTTGTAGCATTGTGCCTGGCGGCTAAGCAGATCTGTTGCTGGCAGTGTAGCCAGGAAGCCGACTTGGTGTTCTGAAAACCCGGACGCTGGGTCGAAACCGTCGGGGAATAGAGCGTCAAATGTCGCGACATCAACACTGGAATCTCGGTCTGCATCACCCACAATAACCGTCTTTCTTGCGTCCAGTCCCGGTGTGTTCTTCACTGTGACTAACAGACTCTCAGATGACCGCTGCAGATTCTTGATGCGCCGGTCTAGCTCCACGCGCTCAGAACCTTTGCGCCTGAGCTCATCATATTGCTTCTGTTCGATCTGCCGAGCTTTGGCAGACTCGCGGATCTTTGTATGCCAGTGGTCGAAACTTTCTTGCTTCTGTGTCAAGCTCGAAGCTAACTCTCGGTCAATTCCCCCAAGTGTTTCTTCGACCATTGCAGTAATTTGGGACATCGCAGCTGGATTTCATGTTAGCAAAAAAAAAAAAAAAAAGATTATATACGGGAAGACACTTACCATCAAGAACCTCTTTCTTCGACTTCGCCAATTGGTCGATGAATGTGTCATTCCGATTGGCCGGTTGTTGAGATTGAGAGTTTCCGTCCACCATGTCGACACCTACACCGTAATCTGCAGGTCGGAGGCCAGTATGGTTTGGAATGTGAGGGTCGGCACCCACTTCCAGGAGTTGCGGGACAAGGACTGACCGCGCACGCCCTGCCAGGTTAAGAGCCGTATCGCCCTGATCATCGCGGAGGTTGACAATCTCAGAAATGAACCGTCCCAAGGAGATGACCTCACCGCTAGCGGTCCCGTTTGGCACATGGTTTCCATTCGCGCCTGAGACCATACCGCCATGTCTTACAATGAATTCAAGAAGGGCTTCCAGGTAATGCTTTGCGGAAACATGTCCGCCACCACCAGTCGCAGCCATCATGGCGATGTGGTGCAAGATGGTACGTCCGCTGTAATCGACCATGTCAATGGTAGGGGCTAACACCTGCAGCAAACGCGGGAAGCTTCGATAATCGAGGTTATTCCGAGTTCCCACGGACTTTTGCAGCGCTGTTTCTCCGGCGCCGTTGACTCGTGATATACTGACACCCTTGGCTACTAACGCATTTAGCAGTGACATGCGGGCAAGCATCGCAGCCCAGTGCAGGGCATTGTTCCTGTACTCATCAAGGGGAATTTCAAGATCATCCCCGGTCAACTGCAACAAGGCCGGATGATCCGTGAAGTCCTTTGTTCGTTTATCGAGGAACAATGTCATGATGAGCTTCATCTTCTGGAATCTCTCGGGAGTAGAAGCAGGTGCCAGGGACTCGACGCCACGTTTCGAGCCATCATCAATAGGAGGGGGAGGAAGATCCATATCTTGATAAAATGACTCGTTGGGTTCTGTGGGTGTAGGTTCGTGCATGGATAAATTGTGCATGGATAAATTGGATGGTTCTCGAGTAAGACCGATAGGTGGTGGGCCTTGATGCGAAGTAGAGCGCATGCGTTTGCGAGGAGGCTCCGCAAGATCGTCGTTGTCATCTTGCACCTGGTACCGATTTTGCAAGCTGCCAAACCCGCTGTCGGACATGCTGTACATGCTCTGCTGGCTGCCGAAGGCAAGCCCGGATTCTTGGCTGCTCATCTGCTGTGAGGGCTTGCGAGCCATGCTGGGTCGACGACTGTTAGAGCTCGGTGAGTCGAAGCGCGCTTTGCTAAGGGCATTAACAGCGGTGGCTGCAGTTCGCGAAATATTCTGGAAAAAGGTTCCCTGCTGCGGCTGTGAAGCGCTGCGATTCTCACCGCCATTGTAAAGGCGCTTGCGCTGCGCAGCCATTGCTTGTTCTTTGGTAGGTGTATCTATTGTCGATTCGTGGGCAGGAGCTCCGGAGCCGTCAGGGTTCATATCGTACTCCAGCAGTGGTCGGAGTGATTCTTCAACGTGGTACTCTCTGCAGAGGTCAACGCCTCGTTGGTAGTTCACCCACGTCCCCTGGTATTTTCCGTAACCACCTTGTACCTTCTCGTGTTCACCAGCCGCAATTTCTTTTTCGAGGGTTTTCGTTCGTCTCGCTTTCACAACACCGGCGACCTTCAAAATTTGCGTAGCGTTCAACCAAGAATCGGATCGACGTTTCATCACAGCAACACCATTAACTTCCATTTCATATACAGCGACATTAGAGTAGACAGCCTATTTTGAGACTCGTCAGTGGCATGCTCTGTGGGTGTGCATAAAGACAACGAACTCGGTATATTTGTGGTTTGTACTCCTCCTGATATGACATTACCGACCCATAATCGTTGCCTCCGTCGTATCCACCAAAGCTAGTCCGTGGGAGCCCGTTGGGGTAACCAAAAGAGGACATCTGAGATCCTTTGGGGGGCGGGGGAGTTGCGCGAGGGGTGGAGGAGAGGGATTGCGAAGCATTCAACATATTGTATGCCATTCCATTCGACCCTGTACTGCCCTGTGAGTATGACATGCTGGACTTCCCAGGAAATGTCAGCATACAAATCAGGAAATGATGGGGTAAAGCACATAGCAAGGGGAGAGATACCGGATGTCGATTGGAATGACGCGAGCTCAAGGAGGCGCGTGGCTAACCCTCTGGAGGGAAACCGTAGGCCAGGCCGAATTACATTCAAAGCCACAAAGCGACCGAATGAAGTGTCAAGTAGAAATTGAGATATTAAGGTCCGAGGCTCAATGCAAGGCAAGGCAATGTTCGCGGGGTTTGGGGGGAGAGTGTGAAAATGGCGCGTCGAAGTTCCCGTGACACGCATTTCGCCAAGGATTTCGCGTTTCTCCGGTTTGGGGTTTCTTTTTTTTTGTCCCATCGTTTGCAATGAAATAAGATATTTCCAATGGCCATACCACAACCTCTACATTGGGCACACAATCTCTCAAAACCACAGCAATGGCGCCATTTATTTCGCGCCACGCTGCGCGAATGTACCTACCTACCTGACCCCATCGCTCGCAACTACATGAAAAACCATGTTATCTCCCGATATCGTGTTGTTTCCTCCCGTTCCCCACAGGCTGGTCCTAAGGCGGTTCACGCAGCAAGAAATGCATTGTCGGTTCTGCGGCGAGCAAATGAAGGCTATTCACGTCCTCTCGAAAAGGTGTTGTATCTATCATACGGTCGCACTGGGAGACGGCGACATGAGCTGCTAGCGAATATTTTAACGCCAGAAATCCCCGATGACTCTTTGGCTCTAAAAGAGCTACTCTCCCGGCCTGCTGAATTCACCGATGGCTGGGAACCTTCACCTATCGTGAAGAGCCTTGCGGCCTCTCAAATGCAAAACACAGTGGTTACAGCAGCCCGCATCAGGCCGTTGATCAAACAATTGGAACCGCCAATCCCCAAGAAGGACAGCTGGGGCAAAGAAGTGGCCCAGTCTCGGAAGAAAAATATCCGAAAGAAATGGTACAACAATACATTGGGCAGTCTCCTTCCACCATTACCAGAAAAGGATCTCCACACGCTTGAGGGACTCATATCGGGGACTGTACCCTGGGAACCTGTCAAAAGGAGAGGTTCAAAGCCCCAGATTCCTCGGATCAAGTCTGGTGGCGAGCTCTTCCAGTTGCTGGCTAGGGGCCCTGAGAAGGGTACTACCTTTGCCGAATATGCCAATGGTCGACCGCATACAATTACAATCAGGCTTATGCGTCGCCAATGGAAACGTCTGTCTGCTCTCGTGCCACGACAGTACTGGAATCCGATTTCACAAAAGTGGCGCTTTTTATGGGATTCACCAAAAGAAGTTCCCAAGCTGTCCTTCGATCTGGACAGTAGCATCGACCCAGCGGCTTTTTTCAAAGACCAAGCGGAGGAAGACAAGGCTGAGACGCGTCAACCCTCTCAATAATAAAATATTAACCAATGTAATAATACACGATTTGGAATCCACTCACACATGGCTATAGTCATTCCCACGTTCAAGTGCTCCGTGAACTGAAATGAAGGGCTACCTACGAGGCAGAAATGCAGGCTAACAAGCACTCTAGGATATCTCACCAACTAAGGCATAATCGCATGATTCAATAATTCAACTTTGTTGATGGGCTGTCATCTCACTAAGAATACAAATGTACGATAAACATAACGCGTAAAGCTCCTTGAGTCCCCTAAGAGGAGAATCCAAGATGGGCCAGATGCCACTGGAGCGGAAAAAGCAGCAGAGAAAAAGACCAGGTAACTATACAGAATCCGAAGGATACAAGTCACTGTGACCAATCACATCAAAAAAGGCGAGACCAATCAGTCGCTATCAGAGGACGAGCTGGAGCTGGAGCTGGAGCTCTTTTTCTTGTGCTTCTTATCCTTCTTATGCTTCTTATCTTTCTTGTGCTTCTTGTGTTCCTTCCCACTATACCATGGTATCAACAGTCAGTCTCACCTCAACTGAAAAGACTAAAAGGATAGCGCAAGGGGCAAGACTCACAGTTTATTGGTTGCCATGTTCATACCAACAGCACCCAAAACAGCACCACCCGCAGTACCAAGGAGGCCGTGGTTAAGCTTATTTCCCATGAACCCACCAGCCGTGCCACCAAGCAGCGTCGACCCGAGGCCCCTATCGCCCTCCTGTCCTACAGCACCAGGCTGTCCTTGTTGGTGCGGGGGTGCGCCGCCATAGTATGAGGAGCTCTCGCCGCCGCTACTTTGCGGGTACTGCTGTTGCTGGGGAGGGTATGGCGAGTGGCCGCGATCCTGGGGAGGCTGTCCATGCTGTCCGTATCCAGGACCGCCTTGGGGAGGGTAATGGCCCTGCTGGTGCTGTTGTGGGTATGTCTGGTAGCCCTGGCCACCTTGTTGATCATAAGGTCCTGGATGTTGGCCGTATTGGGGCTGACCGTAAGCCTGCTGGCCCTGTAGTGCGGAAAGTTAGTAAATGGATGCCGCGGTACGAATACGAGAATGAGAGTTTGAGGGCTGTGCAACTCGGTTCTGTGCAACGGCATGTCATGTGTTTTGAGTATAAACTCACCTCTGGTGGGTAATAGCCTTGCTGTGGTTGAGGGGAATGACCCTGCTGAGGGGGGTAGTGTCCTTGGCCTTGCTGGTCATAGTAACCGGCGCCGCCGCCGTATTGATTCTGTGGGGGTCCACCGTACGACATGTTGATATTGAGGGAAATAATAGTCGATGCTTAAGTGTTAGGTAGGATGATAAGTATGATAAGTATCGATGTTTAGGATTAACTGAACAGGAAGGTGAGACCTGGGGATGACCTGACAATAAATACACGGCATCAGCGGGGCTCGCGGGGCTGAGCGGGAAATTGAGCACCCGCCTCTCAGGGGGTTTTGGAGATCAGCACAGCCTCCTTATCATCTTATAATGTGGCTTAACCTTTCTTCACGTGGACTAGGTAACCAATGAGTCTGTCTCCATCTGTTTGATTGTGGGCCTTCACGGCATTTGAGATTGGCATCCATCCAGGCCAGTCAACGCCAAGATTGTCACCCCGCAGTTGACTGGCTCCTGCAAGGAACCGAGGAGCATTCCTGATTTGGTAGATATTTATAGACCAGAGCGACTTCAGTGGCGAGAATAAGGCAATATATCCTGTTCATTGTACATTCATTATGGTCCTTCGAGCTTGACGGGTTCCATATCAAAAGGTCCACTCCCCTGATGTATTAACTGCTCTGTGTTCAGCGGTATCGACTTGTCATCGAATGAGTTAATGCTCAGTCAACTTGTTCTTCAGCCAGCATGAATAGAAGCCCGAGTACTCATACCTGTCAAGTAAGATCAAGTTTATGGTGTTTCTTGAGCACGAAGGGACTTCAGTCACTAATCTTCCAATAGAACAGCGCTATAACCCTCCCCGTGTATGTTCGAATATCCATACAGGGGCATGGGTACTTTAAATGCTGCTATCCCATTCTTAAATGCGTATTAAGATCTGGAATCTGAACTGGGGTTCCAAATCCTTCATCAACCTTTCAAATCCAATTGTGCGTATATGATGTGAGTGGAAATGACTGGAGGCTGGAAAGAATCGTTTCAAGCTGTAGCAGTCTTCTTATCAAGTTCAACCTAACTTGTTGCTTTTGCATTTAAAGGTTTGAGAACTAGAGTCTAGACGTTCTCCATAACAACTAGAACTCTCAATATATAACCGGTTTCTCTGGTACTTGTCCGAGCTAAGCCCGATCCTACCGGCCTGTCAAGTGACCTTGGAGGGACAAGAAGATTTGTCTACTAAGCAACACCGACTTCCCTCGATAATGTCGCATTTTTACCCTGAATATATTCAATGTCGGCATTTTCTGTTTCCCAAAAAGTTGATAAGAGATACCGTGTGCCTATTGTGGTTTATAGAAGTAGAATATCCAACGAACTAAGATCCTCTCGATAATTTGCTGGTTATTGAATGAACTTCTCTGTCGCTGGTTATACCCCGGATCTTGTCAAAGTGGAGACTGGGTCCACTACTACATTCACTGCGCTAACCTGTCCAGGATCCCAAAGAGCCTTTAATAGTCAGATTACACCATCGCTTCATAATCAAAATCAAAATCACGATCGACAACCGCCAAGTGGCATATCAACGACTTGTCCATTTAACCGTGTACAACATACTCTACTCTCAAGAAGTGGAGAGACCCTTACGCATATGATGTCCGAACCAAAAAAAAAAGAAGACACCAATAGCAAAGCAAACGCAGGAAGGATACAACCCCATTTGCATGTGTGTGTATGCAGGATAGCCAAGCATGTGAGTCCGAGCGTGGTGATAAAAAAAAGCTTTCTTGCCAATAACGTTGCATTTATTGGCGCTGTGGCCAAGAACTGACTCGCATTTGGGATCTCGGACTTTGTCGTAGGTTTAGAGGGGTAGGGATATGATAACTGGTAAAAGAGAACTCTATAGTTATAACTACCCTGTCTATGGGGGACTTGGTATGTTCGGCTCCTTCCCGAACATGGCCACGCACTGTCCCTCCAATGCTTGGCAGTCTACTCCTCTGGGCAAAAAGTCTTACTTCAGAGAAGCCCTGCCAAGGAGCTACGGGCCGCTGAATCATTGAAAGGCTAATCGACGAGTCGAATGGGGTTGCTGCACTATATCATGAACCACTACGGAGTACAGATTATGTAGTAGATGCTAAAATCATGTGTCATGAAAAGCCCAACAGGATGTATGTGGGTTTTCCTCGTTTGGCACACAAAACCGGCGATCAATAGAATAATAGCCTATTAAATCGAGATGGAGGCTGGCAATGAGCCTATCACAGTCGACCCGACTTAAAAGAAAGTCCAAGAAAGTCCAAAGAGACGGCTATTATGGCTATTATGGGGGGACTTCTCCAGGCTTTCCATCCAACCCCCCATTTTAAACTCCACATCCCCGCGGTCTGGGCAAAGTCCAGAGTACAAATGCTTATGTCCTCGGGGTTAAAACACGAAACTAACATTGAGTGTACTTCTGTATTCATATTGCAGCTGCTAGAACATAGTCATCCACTGAATCTGAAAGCAAAGTTCTCGAAGGAAAAGTCAAAATAAAAACCAAAGTAGAAGAACGTAGAAGTAAAAAAGAGACGAAGAATTCCATTAAAGAATGCACCTGGGCACCCCCCGTGCCTTACATCAACCTGCGTTTACCGCCGGAACAACCGTACTATTCCAAATTCATTGAAACCTTTTTCTAACTTTTCCCCACGGGGGAACTCTTGTTTTCTGGCGGATACCCCATAAGGGCACTATGATCAGCGACTGAGCTTAGATTTGTCCTCATTCGTGCTCATCCCCGACTCCAGTTCGCTGACCCGCGTGGCACGCACAGCAAGCGAATAGGATCACGTCTTATCCCTGCATTCGGCGGGACCGCAGACGTCGGTGGTCATTTGTTTGATTCTTTCGGTCCTCGGGATGTCCGCTAAATCGGTGACCATTGGGGGGTAGAGGGATGGTTCCCGTGCGGTATTTAGAGCTGCGCTGACCCCCTTGTTTTTAGATTCTGATCTATCTTAATTATCTTAATTCTTTCCTTCGGACTTCGCTTTGCTCCTAGATCAGGCTTTTTATCCTCTGATTTATAGCTGTTTCCAAGATCCTCAGAAGTTATGGATGAGGCAAGGCCTCAGTATGCGGCGACATCCTCGCCAGATGTCGAGGAGCATATGAGTGTCGGCCGCTACATCTCAACTCGTATTTCCTCTCTCGTGCCTCCGATGAATCCCGCGCCGAACCCTTTCAAGGCCCTGACACTGCTTAACCGGACTCAGTGGCTTAATTTCTTGGTATGTCGATCTCCCCTCCCCGTAGGGCTGACGCGCAAGAGAAAAAAAAAAAAAGAAGACTTGGCTAACATACCCAACCCCTATAGGTCGCGTTTCTTGGATGGTCTTGGGACTCGTTCGACTTCTTCACCGTCTCACTTACTACCTCCGAGCTTGCCGAATCATTCGATAAATCCGTGACCGACATTACATGGGGAATCACCCTAGTGTTGATGCTGCGATCCGTCGGTGCGATCACCTTTGGAATCGCGTCCGATCGATGGGGCCGTAAATGGCCCTTCATCGTCAACCAGCTGCTCTTCGTGGTCCTCGAGCTCGGCGGCGGTTTCTGCCAAACTTATAAACAGTTCCTGGCCTGTCGCGCCTTGTTTGGAATTGCCATGGGTGGCCTGTATGGTAATGCAGCTGCTACCGCGCTGGAGGATTGCCCGCCTGCTGCCCGTGGTATAATTTCAGGACTCTTGCAGCAAGGTTATGCTTTTGGATATCTGCTAGCCACGGCTTTCGCTAGAGGTCTTGTGGATACTACCCCGCATGGATGGCGGCCGCTGTTCTGGTTTGCGGCTGGTCCACCAGTCTTGATTATTATCTTCCGGTTGTTCCTAGGCGAAACCGAGACTTTCCGTCGACGTCAGGAGGCGCGGCAGGAAGTGCGCGGAGGTGTTGCGGCGTCGTTCATGTCAGAAGGGAAGGTTGCACTGCAGCGGCATTGGCTGATGCTCATATACTTGGTTCTGCTTATGTCCGGGTTTAATTTCATGGTATGTGCTTACGTGAATTACCAATTCGAGTAACAGAAGAAGCTAACATGGAGACATAGTCACACGGATCTCAGGATCTGTACCCGACCATGCTGGAGAACCAGTTCAAATTCTCAAAGAATGCAGTCACTGTCACACAAGTCGTCGCCAACCTGGGGGCTTTGTCAGGTGGCATATTATGCGGCTGGGCCAGTCAGATCTTCGGTCGCCGGTTCTCTATCATCGCCATCTCCATCGTTGGCGGCGCCTTGCTCTACCCTTACACATTTGTCCAGAACAAGAATGTCATTGCTGCAGCCTACTTCGAGCAGTTTATGGTCCAGGGTGCATGGGGTATAGTCCCCATCCACCTTATGGAGCTATCGCCAGGACCTATCCGCACCTTCGCCGTTGGCACAGCCTACCAACTCGGAAACTTGGTCTCCTCCGCTAGCTCGACTATTGAATCAACCATCGGTGAACGCTTCCCGTTGCCTCCAACTGCAACAGTCCCCCACCGTTACGAGTACGGCAAGGTCATCTGCATCTTCATGGGCTGTGTTTTTGCCTATGTTATTTTGATTACAATTGCTGGGCCAGAGCGTTTGGGTCGTAACTTCGACGCTGAGCATGATGCGGACCTCCAGGAGGTTGCTGCTCACCGCGGCCTCAATACCAAGGGGGACTTTGGGGAAGATCCCGAGAAGGCTAGAACTTCTATTGTGCCGTAGACCTGCTAGGAGCTTTTAAGAGAAGGTAGTATCTAATGCCTGCACGATGAATGATGATTGCTTTGTATTTCGGGGCTTCGGACTCTTTTATTTGGGAGTATGTGGAAGGAACACCTAGAGTACGATAATTGGACAAGACAATAAGTCGGCTTCCATGGACTTGCTTTGTTTATCTCACTTGCTTTGTGTGTGTGTGTGTGTGTGTGTTTATTTGATTGTTTGATTGCCCTGTCAATGGAAGGTTAGCGGGTATCTCTCAACAGGCCAGTAGATGGACACCGAGGATCAGAATCTGCTTAATTAATAGTGCTCATTCTGGCGCGCAAGTCAGTCTTATGAAGTGCATTTTCATCCCCTTAAATGTGACAGAAAAGTGTAAAGGAATCCTTAGTACTCACCATCTACTATTCGTGAAGAAAGACTACATGTGGGTATGTAGAGCGAAAACACAGTAAGCGTGAGACACAGAGGCTCTTTATAGTGCAGGGATTCGTCCTTCCAGCCTATAACCCCGCAGTTATACAATATTCTTTGAATTAAATTAAATACAAATACAAGAATGAATTAAGATGAAAAGTAGTGGTAGTTATAGATTAATTAGATGGTTATACTATGGGTTGAATACGGATGTGATGCTATACTAACTAAAAGGGTAAATCCCTGGATGTATACAACATATAACTAGTTAACTAGGGGTCTAATAATAAGTAGACCTAAATATCCAGCTAGTTTTCAAATGTTTCATGGTTATACAAAGACAGAATGCACATCTCTACAATATATGGATGTCATTTATAATCGTAATAAAGCACCTGCCTAGTCTTAGTATGTGGCATACGCGTCCTGCAGGAACACTAACGGGATACACCGTTGCCTGTTGTGGTAGTTCCAGTGCATCACACCTTGAAAATTTTCATATATCTCAATCTATCTTTTATTTATAATGGCTATGTGTAAGATAAAATAGAACATGTACGCCATTCTCGGCATAGGCTTGTTTTGTCGTGGATTCAAAGCCTCCGTATTGTAGGGCTATGTAACTATGTACTGCTATGGTGCCAAGCCTACGATGCCAATTGCGTCGAAAAAAAAAAAAGAGAAAAAAAGAAACGAAGATTATCAAACCAATGAATATTTCAAGTCAAAATTCAAAGAGACTAAAGATTAGAGGAAACACCTTTGAAGTTCGTAAGCACATCCAATACCTTCTGTACCCACAAAAAAAAGCACTTTCAGGGACTTGTCAGGGACCACAGGCCATTTATCCGCCAAGGCCCAGACAAACCTCCAACCGCCCCGGCTTCCATTCTTGTCTTCTCCCATTCCCATCCCTTCCTTTCCCCTCGTTCCTTACTCGTTAAGGGTTCTCTTGCGAGGTTTAACCCCCTGCGCCAAGAACCTGTCTGTGTGTGCTGGATGAAGTCCCGGCTCCGCCTTCTCCAATGCACAGACGCTCGTCGGGCTCCCCTGTCGAGGACGAAGATTCCTCGGTCTCCCGAACAGACGATGGTACTGCCATCGATGAGAAAACCCGATCTCAAATAGCTAGGCGCGGCACCAGCTTCGACCTTCGCCGCGACGGCAGCGCGACACCGCGCTCCCGGAACTCGAGTATGTGGCGCACTCCGTCCTCCCAACCTTCCAACGATACCAAACCGACGCCATTGGGTTCCCCCCGACTTCCGATGGAAGCTACCTCCCCCGACGGTCGTCATGCGCGACAATCTCGCCAACGAAGTCCATGGTCTTGCTCAATTCTGACGGCTTTCACTACCTGTGTTGCGGTCGCGTTCTTGATCTCCATCGTCTGCTCGTTCACCGGTCGGCAACATGGCGGAGATGGTTGCGGTGTTCCGATGATGAGTCCGACGTTTATTCGTATGTTGGAGTTCGATACGGAACATACTCGCTTTGCAAGCAAATACAATCTCTTCGTCTATCGGGAGGAAGGCGTGGATCCTTACACCCAGGATAACATCGGGGTACGGTGGCCCGGACTCGGTGCATGCGCTTGGATTCGTGTACTGACTCGTGTGTTTAGTTGAACGGCGTGCCAGTTCTGTTCCTTCCCGGGAACGCTGGAAGCTATCGTCAAGTCCGATCTCTGGCCGCCGAGGCCTCGCGACATTACTACGATGTGGTCCGACACGATGAGAGCCGCCATGCGGCAGGAACGCGGAGCTTGGACTTTTTCATGGTGGACTTCAATGAGGATATGGCGGCATTCCATGGGCAAACGCTGTTGGATCAAGCGGAATACGTGAACGAGGCGATCTCATACATCCTATCGCTTTACCACGATCCGCGACGCACCCGCCGAGATCCAGGGTTACCGGACCCCAGCGCTGTTATCCTTATCGGACATTCTATGGGCGGGATAGTGGCGCGAACCTCTCTGACTATGGCAAATTACCAGGCCAATTCGGTCAATACGATCATCACTATGTCTGCACCTCACGCAAAACCGCCGGTCTCCTTCGATTCCGATATCGTCCATACCTATAAACAAATCAACGACTATTGGCGTGATGCCTATGCGCAGACATGGGCCAACAACAACCCGCTGTGGCATGTCACTCTCATCTCCATCGCGGGTGGTGCGCGTGACACCGTGGTGCCCTCCGACTATGCCAGTATCTCCTCTCTCGTGCCCGAGACACACGGATTTACCGTATTCACGTCTTCTATCCCGGATGTCTGGATTGGCATGGATCATCTATCGATTACTTGGTGCGACCAGTTCCGCAAGGCTATAACCAAATCCCTGTTTGAGATTGTCGATGCCCGACGCCCTACTCAAACGAAACCACGGGCAGAACGGATGCGTGTGCTCAAGCGGTGGTACTTGACGGGTTTAGAGCAAGTGGCCGAGCGTACACTCCCCCAGAAGGAAGCAAACACCCTTTTGACACTTGAGGATAACGCCAACACCATTCTTGCACAGGGCCAACGGTTGGTCCTGCGCGAACTGGGCCTACAGCATGGCCCCGATGTTCGTCTTCTACCAATCCCTCCCCAGGGCGTTTCTGGTAAAAAGTTCACCCTGCTCACGGACCAATTGCTTGATAAGAATGGCAATATTGAGGTCCTCTTCTGTAGCGTGTTCCCGCTATCCAATGGCCGTTCAACCAACTTCCCGTTGAATTTGGATTTCTCTGGTGGCACTGTGGGCTCAACCCGTTTAGCCTGCAAGAGCGCCGCTGAGGACAGTATTCATTTGCCTGCCTCGACCCGCTCATCGAAACATGCTTACGATCGTACCCTGCCGTTCTCGTATCTCCAATACGACCTGGAGACTCTCGCAGAACATCAGTTCGTAGCTGTCGTGGACAAGGCCAATGTGCCGACTTCAGGCTTCCTTGTCGCCGAGTTTTCGGACAGCTCGGATGCGGTGATTCGGGCAAAGGTTGGGTTGGGCGGACTGCTCAGTGCTGGCCTAAACATGCGGCTACCGGCGATCCGACCCATGCTCATGGAGGTGAAGATACCCGCACTGTATTCGAGTCTCCTCGACTACCGGCTGAAGATCACTCGCCATCCTCAGAAGGAGGAGCTGTTCGCTCCATTGCTCCGGCAATCTGTCTCTGACCCCCACGAGTCGAAGTTCTTCGTCAATGTCAATGAGGTCAACGTGAACATGCATGGTGTGGCGCCGTACATGCCGCCTGCAATTAGCGAGCAGGCCGCTCTCGGGGGTGTATCATTTCACCTGTGGACGGATCCAACTTCTGACTCGACGGTCGATATCTCCCTCCAAGTCGATCTCTCCAGCAGTCTTGGCGAGCTAGTGATGCGGTATCGGACCATCTTCGCGGCGTTCCCACTGCTCGTCGTTGCCCTTGTTCTCCGAAAGCAGTTCCAGATCTACGACGAATGTGGTTACTTTATTCCCTTCACTGATGGCCTTCATCGTGCGTTGCGGTCTTCCTTCCCGCTCCTGCTTGTGGCTATGTCTCTGCTGGCTTCCTCCCTGGCCACGTCCAAAGCCTTGCCACAGACCGACGAACCCCTCCATTGGCGGTCCAACTCGACTGAAACTCCCGTCGACTTCACCAAGAACGATCTCTTACTTGGCTCACAAGACGCTTTCTTCTGGTTCTTAGTCCCAGTATTCGGTCTCATCAGCGTTGGCGTCTGCGTCCTTGTCAACTACCTTGCTCTCGTCCTCGTGAACATCTTCTCCTGGGTCTATGGGATCTTACACAGCAAGTCAGGCTATATTCGGCGAGAAGACCGGGGGAACCTGCCGATCTTCCACACCCCCACTCCTCGCCGACGCATTATCCACACCGCGATTCTTTTGGTCCTTGTCTCGACTGTAATTCCCTACCAGTTTGCCTATATGGTTGCCTGCATTGTGCAGCTAGCCACATGTGTACGGGCACAATGGCACGCCAAGGAAACCAGATCCACCTCGCACCTGAACTTCGACAACTACGCACACTCCATCTTGATCCTGATGTTGTGGATCCTGCCAATCAACGTGCTGGTCCTCCTGGTATGGGCCCACAATCTCGTCGTGCACTGGTTTATGCCGTTCTCATCCCACCACAACGTCTTATCTATTATGCCCTTCCTCATTCTTGTCGAGACCATGACCAGCGGCGCTATGATACCGCGCATCACGACCAGGTATGTAGAATATTATATCCCACAAGTGCTAAGCTGACAGCTATCTCCACCCCAGGTTTAGGCATGTCACCTCAATAATCTTCTTCGCCATCGCTATCTACTCAGCGATTTACGGCGTTTCCTACGCATATCTCCTTCACCACCTCGCCAACCTCCTCGCAGCCTGGTTCGTCGGGATTTACCTATTCGGCAACAACTTCTCACCCCGCCGGTTGTGGCGTATCATCGATGGCGACGAGCTCCCATCAGAAACGGGGAGTAGCCACGTTAAGAAGAAGCCATGAAAGTTAATCACGTCTATTGTTCTTGTTCTGCTTGTTTGATTGTCTTTTTGCCACGGAGTTGCGCTGCGCATATGGGTCTGGAGT